CACATTTCTTGGTGCATGAAGCATTAAATGTACCTTCATTCCTGGCTTGGTTATGACATTATCGGTCGCATAGAACACGCATTAAGCGAACGTGTTCGGTCGGTCTCAGCCACGTGCTTAGGTTCCGCTCATCTCTCTCCGTGCACGCGCGGAACATTTATCACTAACTGGAAAGCGGCCTCCGCACCGTTATCGCACCACATGAGCTTAACTCGTGCATCCCGACGACACACCGAATGCCGATTGTTATCATCTGCATTGTGGGTTTCAGGAGACTTCCCAAGCGGTGTGAGGCGATGAAGATGATAAGTGATTACTCCTTTACCATCTCGACCAAACGGAGCTGGGAAGCTGCCTGATTACGGTCCGACTCATCATTTATACTAGCCCGTCTGAATGATCCGGAGCAGAGCGCTGCACAATTCTGCGTGTGCTGCACTCGCCAGCTGACGGAACACACTGAAAACTCCAGCAGTCTTTATGGTTTCTGAGCGACTTCTGAAAGCGTTGCATCTGCTCATTTATCCGAGCCGAGGCCCCTGTTACTGTGGAGTTCCGTGGTGCTTTCTATGGCATCAAAGACACAGGACAACAGCTTTTTTCTTTTTCTGCTGCGATAGAATTTTAGCCTGATTGTAACTGAACTTTTAATGCTGATTTCGAATTTGAAACCCCTTTCCTTCCGCATACTCCATTTTTCATGTATTTGGATATATTGACTAAACCGAAAATTATGCACCAATCCGCCCTCGTTTCAGATATGACCATAGCTCCCTTAGGTAGACAAAGCAAAATAGACAAAGCAAATGAACCTGATGCATCTTGCCATAAATGCACCAGTTCGTCATAGGGGCAATGTCACTTCGTTTTCGAAAAGTATCTATATGGCATATTTTGAAATACTCGTCGGTGACCAAGATAAAAATTGGGCACTTCATATTGTGTTGCATTATTGTGAGGAAGTACTTCGTGACTGTACAAAAGACAAACGCAACGGCCTGCAGTTTGCAGTTCCCATGGTTTGGTGAGAAACTACGAACCACATGACGGACTACTACTTTTACACAGTTAATACCAAAGTCATTGACAGGAAATATCGGCATTAAATCCCTCATCAATTATTTCCTCTGCAAGTTGACCTGTTCCACACACTAAAGAGGTTCCAGTTTCAAAACATGAATGTTTCGCTTCATCAGCTAATGTAGTCAGTGAGAGTGGAGATGTGGACCAGTTACATGAATCGGTTTCAACTTATAAACACTCTGCAGCTGATACTGTGCCGTCACCATGCCCCTAGCAATTCAATCAACCAGTATTGAATGAGTCATTGTGTGATTTGAGGCTCTCCAAGTGAACGTTGTAGTTATTCGCTTCAAATGCACGTGAAATATATGTTTAACTGCACTGTAAAATTTTCCTCCTCCTCAAAATGCGATGAGGGTTTCACGGCCTTCTTTCAGGAGACAATCAGTTTGTCTTTTTGCCGTGATATTCCAGGTTTATTAGTACATTTGTGGATTGCTTCGTAGGATAACCCAGAGTGCAGATTAATTTTGAATAGTTCCAAGCATAGTCCCAATTGTGTTCTGTCGCATAATGGCCATGGGTATGGAGCAGTTCCCGTCAGCTACTCAGTGCATTTGCGCGAAGAACATAACGCTTTAAAAATAGTTGTTTAACTCATCAAATATCATTTAGACAAACCATTTGTGTTTATCTGATGAGCTTTCTTCATGGCCGACAGACAACTAAAAGTTCCTATGCTATCTCTGCATGGGGGACAGTCGAGCTTATGGGAAACATTGGGCACAGAATAAGTGGCCAGCACTTGAAACACTGAATGCTGGCACGTCAAGCATTGTGAGTGATCCAGTTGTCGGCGGAGAGAATGCGGAATACTGTATTATGGGATCAATTAGCAATTTGGTTCTGTACAACTCTATCGAAATATGATCCAAAACATTATAACATGTCAAACATTAGTCTTTTTTTCAAATTGTCATCTTTCGTCCATATCATTTGAACACTGACGGCAAATGTTTTCAGTGCAAAGTTTCTGCGTTTCCGTCTGTCTTTGTTGAATCTTAACGCTTTGCTTTTGACGGCCGTCATATTTGAACTGTGGTACGTGATGAAGAACTTTGCTTAAAGAAAATTGCCAAGGTGAATGCGTGGCAGTCATTTGTGGCAGTTATATAAACTTTCATGGGGAAATATTAGCTAATTATGAGGAAATGATTAGTAGAATAGTGATGGGATTTTGCGACCTTGGAGCCCGGCATCGTCTATCACCAAGCACCTCATGACAACGCGTCATCACGTAAACCCTGAGACAGCGTTCAAAGTGTTATTACGTAACAAAAGCCTGATAATGCTAGCAATTAGTGAGGCGTTGTTACTTAAGGCTTATCAACCTATGCTATGTGCACAGAAACTCTTGAGGCAATCCATTCGGTTGCCATGTTCTTGACTGTGACATTTTGATTGGTGGTGCATTTTTCCCATGTATACAATCCCTTATATGTTTCTGATCGTATTGTGTTTGCGACTGAAGAGAGCAATCGAAATGTTGACATATCGCAACCTCTGTCTTCTCACTGCCTTAACGAAATGGCTGAAGGGGACCCACTGTTTTACTTTTCTGAAAAGGTAACATGAATGTCAAACTGCATTTTTTGTATAGTCCTCTTGATATATTCCCCGTTATCTCTGGGTCAGTAAGTGCGGAACATGGGGAACTTTTTCACCCAAATCTGATGATGATGAAAAGTAATCAGAGACATGGGGACAAGCCAATAATGCCTATTGTTGGAGCATCAAACCTGACTGCCATGAGAAAGTATATCCACGTCATGAGCTATACACGAGAGTTCCTACCCGATCAATGCCTGTTATGCATCTACCTTTGTGTGTATATCGTACCTAATCAAAATACGTTGAGCACACAAGTTTGCTTATGGATATCGTGTCATAGAGCATTATTGTGAACACTCGTATTTTGCAAAAATCTTTGCAACCGATTTCAAAGCTGTGGCTTACAGAGAAAAAAACTAGTGACGATTTAAATCCGGTATGCCCTATTTATACGCCAACTAATGTTAGTTTCCTTACAGCAGCAATTTCATTAACCTGTGTAATCTATAGGAATGGTTAGGTCAACTGTATCGCGAACTCCGAAATGCAACAATACTTTCTGTTTGCATCCGAAACCATGGTAGTTGCAATTTGAGGACTTGAAGGGACCGCCCATTTTTAACCACCGGTGTGCACAAACCATTGTTCTCGCATGATGCGAGCACCAAAAGGGTGGCGCTGATGTTCACCAGATAACTTCCCATCGGACCACCTGCTGGGCTGGAATCGGTCTCACTGGCCAGGTCAACTTTTTCGTCTTTGTGCCTACATGTGCGTGTTTCGTTTGCTGTATGCATGGCTGGACGAATGTGGCCACAAGGTTACCGAGCGATGATGGAGCAATTAGGCAGAAAAATGCTGGTTAAAATGATGAGTCGGGTTTGTATGTTATCTAACTGGCTGGAGTCTTCGACATCAACCACATCGGTAGTTGGTAACTTTATCTGAAGCGACGCCGTCGCGGACAGTTCGACGAAGTTGCATTTGGCCCCAGGCCTCTGAACGTGGCTTATTTTTCTCCAGTAACAAATCTTAGGTTTTTACAGTCTTGTGTTTTGCTGTTTAGATTACTTTTCTCTCCTTAACATTTTACACTACTGTTGTCGTGGCGGTTCAAATCAAGGTAGATGGATCCATCTGCTGTACTGCTACCTTGCTTCACCTACGAGACTGCAACCGTCTGACTGCTCAGCCACGCGCCCAGCCAACCGAAGGAAAACAAGGGCAAGGCCCGGTAGACAGGGTAAATCCTACAGGATAGGTCAACTATTTATTTGTGAACGAAACATACTACTTTTAGAAGCCCAAACCACGCGCTCTTCTGCGTCTGGTTCTCGGTCAATGTGAGTGAGTTCCATCTCACGGGTTTTCCCTATTTGGCAGAATGGTTGGCCTCCTTTGACGCGGGCTTGTATTTGCTGGCCAATCAATTCGCACCCGACTCCCATATTTGGTGGAACGGTCGAAGGTCATCTCACACCCGTACTGATGACCTTCAGATGCAACAGATAGCTCATTTGCTCCGCGGTAAGCCCGCGCGTAACATCTGGGCATTGGCTTCGCTTACCTCACTATTACATCAAACCGATGTTCGAGTCGTCGCTGTTGAGCCTGTGCCAGCTTAAACAGGGCAGAATTTCCATTAGTTGGCTTTGGCTCGCTTACAAGCTGCAACCTGTTGCCCTATTCGCACTGACACTGGAGATACTCCATGCTCTTCTCTACTTATTGGTTGTCTTTTCATCGTTCCCGCTTGTTTGTGGAAATGCTTGACTGACTACCAACTTTGCTAGCATAGCATGTTCGTCAGTTGCACTGACAGACAACGCAATGTGAAGCACTTCCCTTCAGCAGCTCTTGAGGCGTAACGTACAGGTTGTTGATTGCATCTGTCTCCTAGGAATCATGAATCTGTACCATTTCCCGGCCAAGTTGTCCTCATGGGCAACAGAAATAATCTGAGGGGCATTCAACGAGTCTACTCAATTAATTTGTTCCGTGCGTAGGAGCTGAAGCGTCCTATGACTTAGTGTGTCTGAGGTCTAATTGGCTGAAGGCGACGGGTTATACACGCACACCTACACACCTGCACAAGTGATTGGCGTACGCACGGAACAAATTAATTGAGTAGACTCATGTTGAATGCCCCCTCAGATTATTTCTGTTGCTCAAGCGGACAACTAGGGCGGGAAATGGTATAGAGAACGGTTATCTCACATGCGGGTTCCCATGGGGCAGCAAATCATTAGAGTGGAATCTCTTGACTTTATTACTTCATAATTCTTTCGTTATTATTGTAGCAAACTAACAAGTATGCATATCTTCATCTTATTAAAGTCTGATTTTCTACATTTATTCCCATTCAGTTGCAATTCTGTGCACCGATTCGCTATCCGTGCGGTACATCATGCTCAAAGCTCATGAACTTGGCCTTACAAACGGAGAATATGTGTTCCTGAGCGTCGATCTTTTCAGCAAGTAAGAAGACATCGGTTTGTTGCCTAAGCGTTTCATATGGTCCTTACAAACATCAAACACCTTACCTTCCCTTACCTTACCAAACACCAATACCTCACCGTAAACTCATCTGTGAGGTGGATATACAATGACTATGTTCGCCTGCTACATTGAGCGCAATCACACTAGTCTGAGCACTAATCACCTCAGATCCGAGGAATTTGGTCCAGTTGTGCTGCTTTCTCATCGCCCTTTGATCAGTGGTGATAATGGATTATTCTTTTCTCTATCTGTGGCCAACAGGACTTAACCTGGATTAGCTAAATGTTAATGAACCCCACTAGTTCCCCGCTGTTTACTGGTTACACTCATTCGCGGCACATTCTCGGCTTCGGTTTCATTACTTACAGGTGCCCTTGCAAATAAAGTTTGACGCATGTGTCGCCACACGGAGCATATCAGCGGCGTAGTCGGGGGATAGAAGAGACGTGACAACGCTAGTCAGTATGCTCGGATTGGTGGCCGTCATTACCCCCCATTCCTCACCATGGTAGCTAGGTGAACTTGCTTCCGAGGTAGGCACCGGAACCGACTATGTCCCCTAACCTTACAGCTGCCTCACTGGAAAATAGGTCAATCAGTAACCACCATCTATCGTAACTAGGTTCTCTTGTGCCCAATCTTTTGAAACACGTGGCCTTCAGCCAGATGACCTTGCCTGATGTGTTTCGCTCCTTCCTGTTGTGGACTTGTTGACCGAATGTGTTCTTGTACCATGCCCGATCACTACAACTGGGAGTCTGAAAAACCGCGTTTTGCGTGAACATCGGCGGACGAATCTCTTCACAGGAGTATCAGTTGAGGCATAGCCCCACCTTCTGGTTCCTCTTGACTTGTTTCTTGGCTTTGCAACTGATGAATTGACCACTGTTTACTTCTTATCCTATCAGATCGATAGAATATTTGTGCTTAATTTATTACCTCACTCCGACCCTTACGTAACGGTTTGCTTGCTTATTGTTTTCACTGAATGTCGTGCGTGCAGTTACGGTGATCATTATTTGCTTTAGTCTCACTCGCGATCCAAACGGATTTCATCGACAGGTGAAATTATACGCACCTAATTTATGTGCGCGTGAGCACCCTCCAGTCATTTAATTCACATCGATCTCACACTTTCATTACTTTCCACACTATACCTGATTTTCAACTTCAACCCTTCGATGTGTTTTCCATGCCGTATCTCTCGCCCCGTACGACCCCCAGACTAGCAGTCCCAGTATCTCGCGGAAGCGAGTCTTGGGGCTGGTTTGATGTAAGCTGTGTTACGTCGCATCTTTAACCCCCACGCCGCGTGGCATACTCGATGCGGTTGTGCGTTTCGCGAATATTGAATACCGAAAATAGTGAGCTAGTAAACATACGCCTGTGTTCCTCCATCGCAGATAGTTCGGGCACGTGCGCAGAGTCACGTCACTGATTCCCAAGCATCTGCTACATATTACAACTGTGCCATATGCTATTCGGGTTCAATGCGCTCCCTGAAATCCGCAAAGTTGACGTCTAAGCATTTCTTGAATTCTGACACCGATTTTGCTTCGACGATCGAAGCATAGGGGTGAGCTATCCGCCTTAGGTCCGGTAACACTAGCTTTTACCGGTGCCCGCGAGTGCTGCTTCGTGTGCGCAGGTGAAGCAGTGTCCTCAGCATGGAGAAGTGCGTCCTAATGAGGTCAACCCTAAACCCATGATACGACAAGGTGTACAGCCTTAGTCTTCTGCATCGGTCTTCGTACGACATATCCCATGAACTGGGGATAAGCCCGTTAGCCACATGCTGAACACGTTCCAGTTTTCGCTCCTGGCCACTGGTGATTGGACATTAGGTGGGTAATTCGTACTCGCGCATCAGTCTTAAGGTGGAAGAGAAGTTGCGAGTGGTAATCTCCTCAGACCCAATGCAAGGCTGTATTTGAGCACCCCAAGCATGCGCAGTCCGTTTCCATCTATCTTCTTCGCCTTATCTACGGACTTCAACTAGCAGCGTCAGAGTGCGCCGCGATCCTTCAAGGAAGGCGTGGGATGTATCGGTTGGCCTGCCAGTGTAGGTATGCCCATCACCACCTTCTCCCTGACTCATATGTAGTAATTAGACTAAAATAAAAGCGACATTGATATCTCATGTTGTTCTGGTGGCAGTCCAACTGTTCGCTGAGCTTGGCAAGTTTGTCGCAAGCTAAGCGATCACTTCGACTGCCACGATTTGACTGGGTTGCCCGACAGATTGACCTCTGCAGACCACATAGACATGCGGTCGAGGTAATGCTGCAGTACAACGCAGCCGTCGGCAGCATCAATTACTCTCCAAATTTTCGGGCTGTCTGCCAACAAAGTGCACGGCAACCGAAGAAACTGAGGCCCTTCGTTGATGTAGATCAGGATTGAAATGGGCCCAAGTACTGTGCCTTGGGGTACATCACTACTGGAAGGGTACCAGTCCGTTATATGGTCATCCACCTGTACCCTCAATTTTCACCTAATAAGCAAGTCACTGATCAAGTGATGCAGTGCGCCACAAACAGAGCACATACTCAGCTTCTTGGGGAGGAGATCGTGGTTCACTTTGTCGAACTGTTGTTGACATCAATAAAGATCATGTCCACCGACTTCCCCTGGCTTAACGCTTTCAACTATTCATGCAGCGTCAACAGCATGTTGGTGACACAGGGGCGGCCTTTCATGAAACTATACAGCGCCGTCGTCCGTATTTTGTTTGATTCCACCATTTACAGTGAACGTTTTTTCACGATCTTCCCGTGAATTTTGGCTAAAACCGAAGTCGGACAAATCGGCCTGTATTTGTCGACCTTACTTGGGTCAGTGTCTTTCGGAATCGGCTTCACTACATCTGTTCGACTATGCACCTTCGGACAGCGATCTGTTGAACAGATCAGTCACGGATGGCGAGGTGATTGCTGACAACGACTTAATAATCAGCTGGTGTAACCCATCAAGACATACAGACTTCGTGCATTCATGACTGACAAGTAGATTGCGGATATCTTCCACATCCCATTCCGCGCTCTCAATTTCCGCCTGGGCTGCACACGTCTAGCTTGATATAAAGGTGTGCCCACTTGCAAATACAGCAGCGCAGTGCGTCGCCAATGCGGACGCATTTTCAGTGCTGGAAGTCAGATGCTGTGCGTCAGCGCCCTCTAACTGCTACATCGCCTGCAAACCTCAGGCGCCGCTTCACGTAAGTTAAAATTCGCTCGGGAGCCGTCTTCGCCGCGGTTGCAAGCTTTTCTTTCTTACTGCCTAACCTTCCGTACTTTTGCGCTGTTGCATATATTTCGCTGCCATTTGTACGCATAGTACTTGACGGCAGATCCAGATTGGAGAAATATATTCCACATTAGTCCTCACCGCACGGCCAACTGTCCACACCAAGGTGGCTTCACTGGTCAAACTTTCCGATACTTGTGGGGTAGAGATGAAGCGCAAATCAATTTCACATCCTCTTTTATAACAGACCAACAGGCTTCCACAGATGAATCCTGTGGCAGCGACCAGTCCACTTGACTGGCCGTTCGGGTGAGACTATCGACGTCAGTCTCCCAGTAGTTGTAGGATGGCACCTTCGGACGCGAGTAGGTAGCTAAAGCTTAAGACTGGTCATGATCACCGAGTGGTCACTCGCTGCTATAGGCTCCAGAACCAGAACATCGCACTCACACGCTGTTCGCAGCTAGTCAACGTCAGGTTCAGACACGACGGATTTGAGTGCGATGTAACCCTTCCGCTGGCGGATGTATTGAGCTGCATCGGCTTTACAATGTCCGGTGAAAAATTGAGCCTCAGGCCAGCATATTCGAGAGGTTAAAATCACCCATGATCAAGAAGTGGGGACGACTCATGTGATTTCGAACATGCGGCAACCAATCCAAACAGCAATCTCTCGGACTGCGATAGGTTACACCCACGAACAGTACGCCACACCTCAGGTGGATCAAGCGCCACAATTACTCGCATAAACCATCTTCAGTAGGTGCTTACTAGCCTCCCGCACAATGATGACCGAAGGTATAGCAGCATACCACTGCAGTTGATTGATAGCCTGTCGCACCGAAAACAAAAGTAGTCACGATCTGAACTTCCTGGGCAGTTACTTCAGGGTTCAACCAGTCATAGTACTGCGGGCCGATGAGAACAGCAAACTGGTACAGCGCATCACGTTTGTACATTAAATTGCGAACATTGGTATAGACTACGCGCAGTCCAGAGTACAAACCGCTGGCCACACATGCAGCGTCACCGACCTGTTGATCCGGGTTCAGCGCATCCAGGGGAACTTCCCGAAAATTTACAATGTGCAGATTAGTTTCCCCACTATCAGTACGCTATTTTCGATGAACTATAGCAGATTTGAGTTTTTCTCGGTCTGACAGATCCATATCTAGTCGTATATGGATCTTTAGACCTCTCACCTTACCGAGGCGAGCTAGTGTCAGCCTCGGACTAGCTTCCTCAATGAAAGTGACTAACGGGCTCGAGTCTTCTCATCTCTTTCCAAGACAGGTGATTTGCTTTACCCTCAACCCCTGTTCACAAGTGTCGAGGAGTCTGTCGAGCAAACTCTGCAGAGAATCAACCGTGGTTATAGAGAGCTTCAGCATTTGCATCGGTTGACTCAGTCGTACGAAATATCATGAGGTTGTAACGCCACTGGTCGTTGGCAGTTGCTCTCTCTTTCTTCCTTTGTTGCATTTTCCACTAGCATCTCATAGCGGTACGTTAGTTTCTTTAGGAGGCAACACAGACATACCAACTGGGCTTTCCACCAACGGATGGACATCGTTCCGGAGAGCTAGTAGCCGGTGAGCAGGTGGGCTCATTTGAACAAAGGAATGGCGGGTTTCCGATTGTTGGCATGATCCCACGGAGCTCCTCGCTATGGAAGGTTTCAACTTCCTGCTGACTCGCGAAGTTTCTCGGCTGCTGCTAATTGCATTTTAGTC